GCCTAACCCTAACCTTAAATTAAGACCAAAAAGCTCATTTTAGTTTTCATAATTTTTTACGATATAGCCAACTTTATTGCTGTGGTAACTATTGGAAACCCTTTCTATATATACACACCACTTATTCATACTCTTCAAGTAACAAACTCAATGGATAATGAGCATTAAGCAATGCATTAGTTTTCAGACAGGTGCACTCCTGAGAACAAATCATCTGCAACATATTGATGCCATTATTATGCACTCATTCGGTGTGCCTATCAATTAGCCTATAATTGTATCAATATGTAAGTTAGTGGTAAGTAAGCAGGGAAACTAATTTACCCAACCATAATGGTGTGACAATTTCTTTGGATGATGTGACTATGGCAAGACGATCTGATGATGTTCTTTGACATGGAGGGGAAAGCGAAGCAGTACAGTTTGTGGAGAGTTTTTTTTTTTTCAACAACCACAACAAAACAAACAAAAAACAATGTTGTTTTTTTGCGGGTGGGGGGGGGGGGGGGGGGCAGCACCCACAGTACCCTTACTTCCAGCGGCTATGTCTGGATCAGGTAGAAGACTACTTGGAGGCGGAGCCATCATAGGGTAAAATGTAGACATAACTGATCTGGAATCTGTTTTGCGTTCTGCTCAACAAACCCTGTTCAGACTGGTTGGCGGTAAGTAACCGCCCCTTTTACAGTCGTGGTGAATGAGATGGGAATCTCATTTGTTGTCTCCACTAAGAGGGCGTTTCGGGAATGAAGTAATCTCGAAGAGGGTATGCAATATGGATAATTTATACTATAGGGTTTGTCTGGGAATTGTTTTTAATTAGATATCCTCTTGAAAATGTCAGCATAGCCATTTGATGGTCTTTCTATTAAAATAACCGAATCCAACGAGGGGTTAGGCAGATCGTTGTCGGGGGGAAATGACAGAGGGGGACTAAAACAGAAATGAATGGCTGCTAACCTTGCTAAGGAGTGTGCGGTACGGGTACACGTTTCACAATGTAAGTGTATCAAACAATGAAATTAGTAGGTGGCTACATTGTAGCCAAGTTGTTTGAGCGCGTGTAGTGCACGTTTAGAAAGTTTACATTATATCACCATCCAGAGTGTAGATTTGCTGCAGGTCAAGCATTCTCCTTTTTTGTGTGGCTATTGGTGGACAATGATGGTGGCTGGGGCTCTAGAAACACTGCTACACTGGTCGAGTAAACTACACTGCTGCACTGAATCAAACAGAACCAAGGAGTTAATATTAGGCCTACCTTTGTATTCACACGCGGGCTAATCCTGTGTTCATATAAGTGTTAGTATGCCACGTGATTTTTCTTCAATGTGGACATCAAAATACTAACAGAATAGATGTTCCCCAGACTAAATAATATTAAAGGCCATTTATCAATTATGTGATAGTGCATGCAATAGACATCATCACTATGTCTTAGAATAATTACTGGGCCTGGTGTTGTTATGTGTTGCAGTACTGATCTGTGAGGTCTACTGCAATCATGGATCATCATCAACTTCATCATCACACACAGGGAAGCATGTCACCTTCATATGTGCCAAGGAAGAGGAAGGTTTCACAGCCAAAACAAAAAAGTGGTCTTCCACCACCAGGTAAATGTCACTAAACCGACACTATCACTAGTCCAAATCTGTCTTTGGCCAGTTGCAGATGTCTTGAATCATAATTATTATTGCATGTTTGGTCTCCATTTACAGTGAGGGAAAAAAAGTATTTGATCCCCTGCTGATTTTGTAGGTTTGCCCACTCACAAATAAATGATCAGTCTATAATTTTAATGGTAGGTTTATTTGAACAGTGAGAGACAGAATAACAACAAACAAATCCAGATAAACGCATGTCAAAAATGTTATAAATTGATTTGCATTTTAATGATGGAAATAAGTATTTTACCCCCTCTCAATCAGAAAGATTTCTGGCTCCCAGGTGTCTTTTATACAGGTAATGAGCTGAGATTAGGAGCACACTCTTAAAGGGAGTGCTCCTAATCTCAGCTTGTTACCTGTATAAAAGACACCTGTCCACAGAAGCAATCAATCAATCAGATTCCAAACTCTCCACCATGGCCAAGACCAAAGAGCTCTCCAAGGATGTCAGGGACAAGATTGTAGACCTACACAAGGCTGGAATGGGCTACAAGACCATCGCCAAGCAGCTTGATGAGAAGGTGACAACAGTTGGTGCGATTATTTGCAAATGGAAGAAACTCAAAAGAACTGTCAATCTCCCTCGGCCTGGGCTCCATGCAAGATCTCACCTCGTGGATTTACAATGATCATGAGAACGGTGAGGAATCAGCCCAGAACTACACGGGAGGATCTTGTCAATGATCTCAAGGCAGCTGGGACCATATTCACCAAGAAAACAATTGGTAACACACTACGCCGTGAAGGACTGAAATCCTGCAGCGCCCACAAGGTCCCCCTGCTCAAGAAAGCACATATACAGGCCCGTCTGAAGTTTGCCAATGAACATCTGAATGATTCAGAGGAGAACTGGGTGAAAGTGTTGTGGTCAGATGAGACCAAAATCAAGCTCTTTGGCATCAACTCAATTCACTGTGTTTGGAGGAGGAGGAATGCTGCCTATAACCCCAAGAACACCATCCCCACCGTCAAACATGGAGGTGGAAACATTATGCTTTGGGGGTGTTTTTCTGCTAAGGGGACAGGACAACTTCACCGCATCAAAGGGACGATGGACGGGGCCATGTACCGTCAAATCTTGGGTGTGAACCTCCTTCCCTCAGCCAGGGCATTGAAAATGGGTCGTGGATGGGTATTCCAACATGACAATGACCCAAAACACACGGCCAAGTCAACAAAGGAGTGGCTCAAGAAGAAACACATTACGGTCCTGGAGTGGCCTAGCCAGTCTCCAGACCTTAATCCCATAGAAAATCTGTGGAGGGAGCTGAAGGTTCGAGTTGCCAAACGTCAGGCTCGAAACCTTAATGACTTGGAGAAGATCTGCAAAGAGGAGTGGGACAAAATCCCTCCTGAGATGTGTGCAAACCTGGTGGCCAACTACAAGAAACATCTGACCTCTGTGATTGCCAACAAGGGTTTTGCCACCAAGTACTAAGTCATGTTTTGCAGAGGGGTTAAATACTTATTTCCCTCATTAAAATGCAAATTAATGTATAACATTTTTGACATGCGTTTTTCTGGATTTTGTTGTTGTTATTCTGTCTCTCACTGTTCAAATAAACCTACCATTAAAATTATAGACTGATCATGTCTTTGTCAGTGGGCAAATGTACAAAATCAGCAGGGGATCAAATACTTTTTTCCCTCACTGTATGTATTCCAATCTTTATATCTTGTAAACGCTCCTTCAGTAGTGTTTTGTAGGGAAAGAAATGAACTAATGAAAATGTGACCATAATTCAACAGCTATCCAGAGGATGCCAGATATGAGTGTGATGAGCATGATTGGTGTTCCACCTAAGGTAAGAATAAATACACAATAACAGTCTTTTGTTTCAGTTCTACTTGGCCATTATGGGTGTTCCTACGAAAGCATAGGTGCACTATTCTAGTCCTCAACATGAAAACTGAAATAACAATCATCATGGTGATCTAGAAATGATTTAGCATTAAGCACTTTAACATCAACATATGATGGTCCTTATTGCAGTTTTCACAATAAAACCTTGTAAGATCCTGTAGGACACTGGATCTCTGCTTTACAGTTCTGTACTTGAATATTATAGAATGAAGACCCCCATGCCCAGGCGACCCAAAAGATGAAAAGAACATATGGCAGAAAAAGGTCAATGGGCCTACTGTGAGTTTCCTTTATTTTAATTGCCCATTGCTGTATGTTTTCCTTCCCATCACTGCCTCCTACCTGTCCAATACTCTCAGATCTCCACAAGTTCAAAGTGTATAGGTGATTGGGGCATTTGATTTGGGAAATAGTCTCTGCTTGTGCACAGTTTTCTCCATGCACAAGCTGACCAGAGTAGTTGTTTTCATGTGTGAGTTTGGTGCTGTGTGTCACTGTCTAGGTATGAGGATCTGCAGAATGTCTCCCTGGGTTCTGGTGTGGAGGATTCAACCAGCGAGACGTCCTGCTGCTCAGTGGTGTCTTCCAGCCTGGCTGTAGCCAACGGCGAACTGCCTCCTCCTCCACCGCCCTCTGCCAGACTGCCTCACAGGCTGGTGGCTAAAGACTGCTGGCCCAACCAGGCCCCAGACACAGGCAGGGCCCAGGGCCGGGGTCAGAAACCACCTATGCCCTCCAATTTTGCGCTGAAGAAAATGCGGAGAGTGGAGGTGGACAACGGCACACCTTCTGTTACAAATTTCCCTCAAGAAGTGAGACAGTCAGGTAGTTATGTTGCAACCATCACTCTATTGTTTTCTGACCTTTTCTCTCACAAACAGGTATTCAAGTTTTAGTTCATGTTGAATGTTTTCTTTGATGCAGTTCCAGTTCCTGTTGGAGGTGGGCATGTTCATAGCGGTCACTCAGTGGGAGGTGGGCATAGCCATGCCCATAGCGGTCACTCAGTGGGAAGTGGGCATAGCCATGCCCATAGCGGTCACTCAGTGGGAGGTGGGCATAGCCATGCCCATAGCGGTCACTCAGTGGGAGGTGGGCATAGCCATGCCCATAGCGGTCACTCAGTGGGAAGTGGGCATATCCATGCCCATAGCGGTCACTCAGTGGGAAGTGGGCATAGCCATGCCCATAGCGGTCACTCAGTGGGAGGTGGGCATAGCCATGCCCATAGCGGTCACTCAGTGGGAGGTGGGCATAGCCATGCCCATAGCGGTCACTCAGTGGGAGGTGGGCATAGCCATGTCCAGAGTGGTCACTCGGTTGGAGGTGGGCATGTTCATAGCCATGTCTACAGCAGTCACTCGGTTGGAGGTGGGCATGTTCATAGCCATGTCGACAGCAGTCACTCGGTTGGAGGTGGGCATGTTCATAGCCATGTCGACAGCAGTCACTCGGTTGGAGGTGGGCATGTTCATAGCCATGTCGACAGCGGTCACTTGGTAGGAGGTGGACATGCCCAAAGTCATGTCCAAAGCGGTCACTTGCTTGGAGGTGAGCATGTCCAGTGCAATCACTCTATTGGATGTGGACATCTCCAGAGCAGTTACCCTATTGGAGGTGAACTTGTCCAGAGCAGTTACTCTGTTGGAGGTGAACATGTTCATAGAGGTCACTCTATTGGAGGTGTAACTATCCAGAGCAGTCACAGTCACCCAGCAGAGCCTACCAAGGAAGAGAAATCTAAAGTCTTCACCTTCACAACCAAGAAGGAACCCCCAGTCTACCCCCCAGGTGAGAGGACAAAGGATTAGCAAATAAAATGTCACCATACATTCAATCGCTAGCAACACTTTACATTAGTTGATCCTATACCTGTGTAATAACACTGTAATTACTCTAGTAACCATGTATTAACAATGTTATGTAATCCTTTGGTAATTGCATTGTAATGGAGTAGGGGTTGTACCTTATTCCACTTGTACAATAACAAAAAACTCTCTACTTCCTGTGTGGAACAGGAAGTCAAGAGGAGAGGTGGCAACTGATGATCCTGGGCAAAGGGCGAGTCACGTGCCCCAAGTGTAAAAGTGTGAGCAGGAAGACTGTGGAGGGACTGAAGAAACATATGGAGAGCTGCCGAGTGGTGTGTGTCTGCGCCGTACTCACAATAACAGCCTTCCATGTTGCACTCGCATTGGTTCAACTGAATCTCAAAAACAAAACTAATGTGTCCTTTGTAGAATCCCTTCACGTGTCAGCAATGCGGGAAACAACTGAAGTCTTCCACGGGAATGAAGTACCACATCATGGCAGACCACAATAACCTGGTAAGGCCATTCTCCCATCTGACGCTGGTTTTGGTGTGTTTCATGTTGACGTTGGTGTTAACTGTCGTATTTTTCCAGCCCTCACCAGGTGACATAAATGGCCTGGATGACCAGTCCATGAAGGAACAATTGAGGAAGGTGCTGAAAAGAATGGGCAAATTAAAATGCTCTAAAGAGGTATGATTCCTTGCTGGCGTCTGTATCTGAAATTCCAGTACAGATGTCACATTAACCCATTGTTGGTAGTCTCCCTAGGCAGACGGGTTGCCTCTCACATTAACAATGTTCTGACATAGGTCTGGGATTTCCTAGACTACATCGTTGGTGCATGGGAACTATAGATGTGTTTCACTCTATAGGACTGTGTTACATTACAGGGCTGCACTGGTAGTTTCACCAGCATCATGGGTTACCTGTACCACATGAAGAAATGTGGGAAAGAGGCGTCTGAGCTGGAGAAGCTGCTTCTCAACTGCCAACACTGTGGCAAGGTCTACAAGTCCAAGGCAGGCCTGGAGTACCACCTCAAGTCGGAGCATGCACCAGTGAGTTCACTGTATTGTACTGCCTTTACAGCAGGGATCATCAACTAGATTCAGCCGCGGGCTGATGTTTTTCTTGAGTGGATGGTCGGGGGGGCTGGAACATAATTGCATATCATTTGTAGACTGCAAATTGACCACATTAATCCCAAACAGATATAATATTTGAATAAAACATAATGATAGACAGCTGTCTCCCTCTCCCCCACAGGAGATTCAGAATGTGGAGGAGGAGGTGAAGGCCCAGAGAGAGCCCAACCCTGAGAGGACACCCAGTGGCCGGGTCAAACGCATGTCAGCCCAGGTGGCTGTTTTCCACCTACAGGAGATTGCTAACGACGAGCTGGCCAAGGAGTGGCCCAAGAGGAAGGTCATCGGGGACCTTGTCCCAGATGATAAGAAGGTGAGGGCACTTCAACACTAAGATGGTCCTAGATCTGTGCTCATGTACTGTATCCATTCCTGTGGATACATTGACCTCCAGATTAACCATAATTTTTCTGTTGGGTTCCACAGCTGAGATATGCCCGCCCAGGGCTGCCTGCCTTCAGTCAGGAGGTCCTTCGGAAGTGGAAAAACGAAGTGAAGCTGCAAAAAAAAGTGCAGTGCCCAAACCTGGTACAACCCATAGTTTTTTAAATGATATTTTAGCCCATGTTGCCTATAGTTGAGATGTTACTCACTGTACTATACTTATAATGTGACTAGGAAACTTTCTGGTTTCCCTCAGGGCTGTGGCTCGGTCTACACAAGTGTGTCTGGACTGAAGGCTCACCTTGGGCTCTGTGGAAGGGTATGGAATAGATTTACTCTCACTGCTCCGCTCTCGTTCACTTCCAAGTACCGCAACGTATCCAGAAGACGGGGAAAGTTATTCAGCTGAAACTGAGTCAATTCTTCAGTTTTATTTTAGCATATAAATCTTATGTATACACATAAATTTAATCCATTATTAAGCATCTAATTCAACTGAATGTTTTCTCTCCCTGTGTAGGGGGACTTTGAAGCAGGGAAATACAAATGCCTGATCTGTAAGAAAGAGTTCAACTCAGAGAGTGGGGTGAAGTACCACATCAACTCTGTCCACTCCCAGGTCAGAAATGTATTTATTTGAGACTTTTAACCTCCTTGATGACCTACTGTAGCATATTAATGTATACTGTTTTGCCATATGAATACAGTACTTAAAACATTCATGTTGTAGTGCTTTTTGATGGCATGCTATACTCATTTCCTTTGTCCTGTGTTTTCTTAGGACTGGTTTGCGGTGACCTCAAAATCCAAGAACTTTGATAAGGTTCTGAAGACCAAGCCCAAGGAGCACAGCACTGTGGATGACCCCACTGACCATCTCCAGCAACAGACCCTCCATGTCTTCACCCCCATCCTGGAGTCCTGGCAGGACATGCAGATGGGACCCCCACCAGCGGTGCCCGAGCCGGCCATGCAGGTCAACCCTGAGGCAGCAGAGGGGAAGAGGAGGGGGAAGGGGAGAGGGAAGGAGAAGGACTGCTATGACTTCACTGGCAGTGACCATTCCAGCAGTAGCAACAGTGGCAGCTCCAGCAGCGGATCAGAGACAGAGGATCCTGAGGGCCCGAGACACAACATTGACAAATGGGCACTGCAGAGACCCAGTATCATCGAGACACACCCTGAAGTCGCCAAGCGACCCAGAAGCAACCACTAGTTCAGTCCGATCACCTGACTTCAGAGGGTGCAACGTTACAGAACGTTCAAATAGAAATGCATTCTGCATTGGTCCTGGGAGGTGTAGTCTGTGTTTCAACTGTAATTATGTGATTGTCTTAGCCAACTTTTAATGTGTCTTATTATTTTAATAAGTTTGATAACTTTTCTGACATGTTTACTCAGACTTTTTTTAACACCTATTATCTGTTGGCTTGTGTTCCTAGATACATATTGTGCCTAGTGTATGGATCTATTATTTCATACAACTCCTTATTATAACTTACATGTTATCAGACCTCTTCTTTACAATGCATATTTAACCATAGCATGTGGTGTTAATGTGGTCTGCATTTTATATCTTGGATAATGATATATGGTAATGCAGGATGATTTTGAGATAGTGGTTGTCGGTTCTAGCTGTTTGTGATGTTTTAACGCTGCGTTGTTTGTGGATGTACAGTCCAGATGGAAATAGGTGCAGTTGTCTTTTTATTTACTCCCTTTGTGCCCCTGTGCTGTTTCTGCAGATGGATGATTGTATTTAGGTTATTCTTCTCCTGTTGAGATTTGACAGTGCGCTTCTGTTTTAAGCTATGTTTTGAATAGATTCATCTGTTTTACTTACTTTTGAATAATGAAGCTGGCCTTTAAAAAAAAAACTTAAATTATCCATAACTAATTGATTGTTAAGAATAGGGTTTCTCTATTTGATGCCTTTTAAAATATTACTAAGACAACCAATGTCTTTCAGATCAAAGGTTCTGCTCGTGTCTGTGATTCCTGTGACCGAAACAGGCATAGTGCATGCACTTTTATAATGACTGAAATTAACTACTCAGTCTAACGATAGGCATATTCTCATAACCCAACATTGTGAAAGTGTACCCTAACTTGTTTTGTCTGGCATTAGACATTGCTTCTTGAGAATAATTGTGTTCAGTGTTTAATGAACCAACTGATGTTAGTCAAACACTTCAATTCACCATTTGTGTCCATTTGTATTAATGGCAAATCTATTGTTTCAAGATGAGAAAACAAACTGCATTCTACCTTTTTTTAGAAGTATTGTAATGTGCTGCTATTTTTAACTACCAGCAGTGTTAGCTATATCAACAGTTCAAATAAAAATATTTACACAATTCTACTAATTTTCCATTCTCAATATGCCATTGTCTTACACTGTAAACAAACCGTATTCTACTAACAACTGCAGGTGTTAAATGGAAGATAAGTGATGCGCCACCTGCACAAGCTCTGGTTCTATTCACTTCAGCACTTTGGGCCCCACCTGTGGCAGAAAGGTGTGTCACAGCCATGCGCCAAGATCAATTATATAAAGAATGATGGAAAAAAACTTTGTAGTACTTTAAATGAAATTGTGGGCAGAAAGACAAATTCAACTCCATCTTTTATCGAATCAGATTACTTATTAATCACAAAACCATTTGATGTTGCCAATTATTTTAATGATTGCTTCATTGGCAAAGTGGGCAAACTTAGGCAGGAAATGCCAACAATGAACAGTGAGCCATCGTATTCATGCATAAAAAAACTAATAATGAAAGAAAAGCATTGCAAGTTAGAATTTTGTAAAGTTAGTGTGGGAGAGGTGGGGAAATTATTGTTATCAATCAATAATGACAAACCTCCTGGCATTGACAACTTAGATGGAAAGCTACTGAGTATGGTAGCTGACTCTACAGCCACTCATATCTGTCATATCTTTAATCTGAGCCTAGAGGAAAGTCTTTGTCCTCAGGCCTGGAGGGAAGCCACAGCAATTCCGCTACCCAAGAATGGTAAAGCGGCCTTTACTGGTTCTAACAGCAGACCTACAGTGAGGGAAAAAAGTATTTGATCCCCTGCTGATTTTGTACGTTTGCCCACTGACAAAGAAATGATCAGTCTATAATTTTAATGGTAGGTTTATTTGAACAGTGAGAGACAGAATAACAACAACAAAAATCCAGAAAAACACATGTCAAAAATGAGGGAAATAAGTATTTGACCCCCTCTCAATCAGAAAGATTTCTGGCTCCCAGGTGTATTTTATACAGGTAATGAGCTGAGATTAGGAGCACACTCTTAAAGGGAGTGCTCCTAATCTCAGCTTGTTACCTGTATAAAAGACACCTGTCCACAGAAGCAATCAATCAATCAGATTCCAAACTCTCCACCATGGCCAAGACCAAAGAGCTCTCCAAGGATGTCAGGGACAAGATTGTAGACCTACACAAGGCTGGAATGGGCTACAAGACCATCGCCAAGCAGCTTGGTGAGAAGGTGACAACAGTTGGTGCGATTATTCGCAAATGGAAGAAACACAAAATAACTGTCAATCTTCCCCGGCCTGGGGCTCCATGCAAGATCTCACCTCGTGGAGTTGCAATGATCATGAGAACGGTGAGGAATCAGCCCAGAACTACACGGGAGGATCTTGTCAATGATCTCAAGGCAGCTGGGACCATAGTCACCAAGAAAACAATAGGTAACACACTACGCCGTGAAGGACTGAAATCCTGCAGTGCCCGCAAGGTCCCCCTACTCAAGAAAGCACATATACAGGGCCGTCTGAAGCTTGCCAATGAACATCTGAATGATTCAGAGGAGAACTGGGTGAAAGTGTTGTGGTCAGATGAGACCAAAATCGAGCTCTTTGGCATCAACTCAACTCGCCGTGTTTGGAGGAGGAGGAATGCTGCCTATGACCCCAAGAACACCATCCCCACCATCAAACATGGAGGTGGAAACATTATGCTTTGGGGGTGTTTTTCTGCTAAGAGGACAGGACAACTTCACCGCATCAAAGGGACGATGGACGGGGCCATGTACCATCAAATCTTGGGTGAGAACCTCCTTCCCTCAGCCAGGGCATTGAAAATGGGTCGTGGATGGGTATTCCAACATGACAATGACCCAAAACACACGGCCAAGGCAACAAAGGAGTGGCTCAAGAAGAAGCACATTAAGGTCCTGGAGTGGCCTAGCCAGTCTCCAGACCTTAATCCCATAGAAAATCTGTGGAGGGAGCTGAAGGTTCGAGTTGCCAAACGTCATGCTCGAAACTTTAATGACTTGGAGAATGTCTGCAAAGAGGAGTGGGACAAAATCCCTCCTGAGATGTGTGCAAACCTGGTGGCAAACTACAACAAATGTCTGACCTCTGTGATTGCCAACAAGGGTTTTGCCACCAAGTACTAAGTCATGTTTTGCAGAGGGGTCAAATACTTATTTCCCTCATTAAAATGCAAATCAATTTATAACATTTTTGACATGCATTTTCTGGATTTTGTTGTTGTTATTCTGTCAAATTATAGACTGATCATGTCTTTATCAGTTGGCAAACGTACAAAATCAGCAGGGGATCAAATACTTTTTTCCCTCACTGTATAAGCTTGCTGCCAGCTCTTAGCAAACTGTTGGAAAAAATTGTGTTTGACCAAATACAATGCTATTTCTCTGTAAACAAATTAACAACAGACTTTCAGCATGCTTATAGGGAAGGGCACTCAACATGTACTGCACTGACACAAATGACTGATGATTGGTTGAAAGAAATGGATAATAAGAAGATTGTGGGAGCTGTACTGTTAGATTTCAGTGCAGCCTTTGATATTATTGACCATAACCTGTTGTTGAAAAAATGTATGTGTTATGGCTTTTCAACCTCTGCCATATCGTGGTTTCAGAGCTATCTATCTAATAGAACTCAAAGGGTTTTCTTTAATGGAAGCTTCTCTAATGTCAAACATGTAAAGTGTGGTGTACCACAGGGCAGCTCTCTAGGCCCTCTACTCTTTTCTATTTTACCAATGACCTGCCACTGGTATTAAACAAAGCATGTGTGTCCATGTATGCTGATGATTCAACCATATACGCATCAGTAACCACAGCTAATGAAGTCACTGAAACCCTTAACAAAGAGTTGCAGTCTGTTTTGGAATGGGTGGCCACTAATAAACTGGTCCTGAACATCTCTAAAACTAAGAGCATTGTATTTGGTACAAAGCATTCCCTAAGTTCTAGACCTCAGCTGAATCTGGTAATGAATGATGTGGCTGTTGAACAAGTTGAGGAGACTAAATTACTTGGCGTTGCCTTAGATTGTAAACTATCATGGTCAAAACATATAGATTCAATGGTTGTAAAGATGGGGAGAGGTCTGTCCCTAATAAAGAGATGCTCTGCTTTTTTGACACCACACTCCAAAAAGCAAGTTCTGCAGGCTCTAGTTTTGTCTAGTCTTGATTATTGTCCAGTCGTGTGGTCCAGTGCTGCAAGAAAAGTTAAGCTGATGCCGGCCCAAAACAGAGCGGCACTCTTGCTCTTCATTGTAATCAGAGGGCTGATATAAATAATATGCATTCCATTCTCTCTTGGCTAAGAGTTGAGGAGAGACTGACTGCATCACTTATTTTTATAAGAAACATTAATGTGTTGAAAATCCCAAATTGTTTGCATAGTCAACTTACACACAGCTCTGACACACACACTTACCCCACCAGACATGGCACCTGGGGTCTTTTCACAGTACCTGTTATGATGAGTTTCTCAGGTATCAAAGAATCAAGGATGCAAGAATATACTTAGACATTCTGTGGAGATTTCATACCAAGTATTTATTGAATCACGAGCTCGTGGGTTCATCTAACAAACGGACATGGCTTTGCCCTTCGTCAGTTGAACTAACTTGACAAAGAAGACACTCTATCTTATATAGCCTTTATTACCATCTTCCTGGCATACATCTGGCAAGTCTCCATGGGCATTCCCTGTCTTTGATGTTCATCACTTTTTACCCCAAGTCAGTATCCTAAACATTACTCATGCTATCCTAAACATCACTAATCTACCTTGACATAATGGAATGTAGACTTCATGGCCCCAAACCACTCATCTCTTAACTCTTCCTCTGTCCTCACAACACCATGGCATGACATCATTATACCATAAAAACATAATATCAGTACCCAAATCCAGAACAATTTCAAGAAAGCGTACTGTATTATATAGAGCCATTATTGCATGGAACTCCATCTCATATTGCTCAAATAAACTGCAAACCTGGTTTCAAAAACAGATAAAGCAGCACCTCACGGCACAACGCCTCTCCCGTATTTGACCTAGAATAATGTATGTATTGATATGTAGGCTACGTGTGCCTTAAAAAAAAAAGATGTAGTTCTGTCCTTGAGCTGTTCTTGTCTATTAATGTTCTGTATTATGTCTTGTTTTGTGTGAACCCCAGGAAGAGTAGCTGCTATTTTTCAACAGCTAATGGGGATCCTAATAAAATACCAATACCAACTGGTTATTAATATTGTGTACTAGGAGTAGCCTAATATGCCTAGATGATAGCTCAAACCAACTTGCTTCTTTTTTTGCACTGACTTATAATTAGGAAAAATAAATCTCACAGTGCAATGTCCGGACTCAATGGAAAATCCAAGGAAAAAGAGGGGTTAGAGAAAGTCAGCAGTCCCTAGCACAGAAACTGACTAGGAGGAGCCTGTAAAAAAGACCAACACAGAAAACTCCCAAAAAGACACCTACCAAAAAGTCTCCACAGAAAAAGGCAGTAGTCTTGAGCGTAAACGGTGAACAGGAGCCTGCCAAAAAGACCGCTGCCAAGAAGACCCAACAGGAAACACCACAGGTCAGCTCCACATCCGCCCCTGCAGTCCCGAACCTGAGGGAGACTCCAGAGGAGCCTGAAACCTGGCGGCAGACCCAAGCGGAGGGCAGCAAAAGCGTATGTGGCATCATCTAGTCACCCATCAGTTTGATTCTGTTACAGCAAGTAAGCAGTCTCTGATGGTGAATGCAACTCTAAGAGCTGCTCTATTAGTGGGGATTTCAGTGAATGAGCAGCAGTATTCTTCTTGTTTGGCCAGTGTTTTATACAGCTACCTTTTACTCTCTATGCTTTTCATCTTTCAATATCTTATTCACTTTGGGTGGACTGTATTATTAAAAACTACCAGAAAAGGCCACCAAGTCAAACATTGTCTTCACATTTTAAACAACATTTACGTGTTTAAAAATGTAATGCTCCATTGACCCATTGTTTTATGCCTCTGTTCTGTTTCAGTGCATTGCAGTACCTTCACACCCTGACCAAGGAGGTTTACAACCAACCTGACAATGCTACTAAGAATGACTGGGAGTCTAGCTCAGGCCCCTGCTCCAGCTCAACCCAGCCCCAGAAAAAGACTAGAGGCAAGGGAAAGAAGAGGAAAGCCCCTGAATTTGACAGTGACAACACCGCAAAGGATAAGGACTTCGTTTCAGAAAATAAAGACTATGAGGAGGAGGAAAGCGAGGATGAAGATACTCAAGAAGACTTAGACTTGGAGCTGAGGCACACACCACCAAAAGACCTTAGATCCATTTCCAGAGGTCATGTGAGTACCTCCAGGCAAATGGGGAGAAATTGGGAGGGATTTTGCCCTCTAGACGGCCAGTCTCTGAGACCAATGACAAGCTAAATATTGACTTTTGGCTGACTTATCTTTTTTTTTGTCACTCAGTCAGGTCAAGCCTGATACCATGGTAAGGCCGCCAATGGACTGACCAACAACATGTTGGGACCAATCTGGATGTGCACCAAAACCACCAAGAAGTTGTACAGTGGGGGAAAAAAGTATTTAGTCAGCCACCAATTGTGCAAGTTCTCCCACTTAAAAAGATGAGAGAGGCCTGTAATTTTCATCATAGGTACACGTCAACTATGACAGACAAATTGAGAAAAAAATATCCAGAAAATCACATTGTAGGATTTTTTATGAATTTATTTGCAAATTATGGTGGAAAATAAGTATTTGGTCACCTACAAACAAGCAAGATTTCTGGCTCTCACAGACCTGTAACTTCTTCTTTAAGAGGCTCCTCTGTCCTCCACTCGTTACCTGTATTAATGGCACCTGTTTGAACTTGTTATCAGTATAAAAGACACCTGTCCACAACCTCAAACAGTCACACTCCAAACTCCACTATGGCCAAGACCAAAGAGCTGTCAAAGGACACCAGAAACAAAATTGTAGACCTGCACCAGGCTGGGAAGACTGAATCTGCAATAGGTAAGCAGCTTGGTTTGAAGAAATCAACTGTGGGAGCAATTATTAGGAAATGGAAGACATACAAGACCACTGATAATCTCCCTCGATCTGGGGCTCCACGCAAGATCTCACCCCGTGGGGTCAAAATGATCACAAGAACGGTGAGCAAAAATCCCAGAACCACACGGGGGGACCTAGTGAATGACCTGCAGAGAGCTGGGACCAAAGTAACAAAGCCTACCATCAGTAACACACTACGCCGCCAGGGACTCAAATCCTGCAGTGCCAGACGTGTCCCCCTGCTTAAGCCAGTACACGTCCAGGCCCGTCTGAAGTTTGCTAGAGTGCATTTGGATGATCCAGAAGAGGATTGGGAGAATGTCATATGGTCAGATGAAACCAAAATAGAACTTTTTGGTAAAAACTAAACTCGTCGTGTATGGAGGACAAAGAATGCTGAGTTGCATCCAAAGAACACCATACCTACTGTGAAGCATGGGGGTGGAAACATCATGCTTTGGGGCTGTTTTTCTGCAAAGGGACCAGGACGACTGATCCGTGTAAAGGAAAGAATGAATGGGGCCATGTATCGTGAGATTTTGAGTGAAAACCTTCCATCAGCAAGGGCATTGAAGATGAAACGTGGCTGGGTCTTTCAGCATGACAATGATCCCAAACACACCGCCCGGGCAACGAAGGAGTGGCTTCGTAAGAAGCATTTCAAGGTCCTGGAGTGGCCTAGCCACTCTGTTGACTGGTCGGGCCCTTTCCTGGCTGCCACGGAGTGGGAGAGCCAAACTCCGGCGTGCTCCGATTCCGGTCATGGGCCTGGGCGGCCTGCCGTTGGGGTCGGGCTTCATCACCCGGCGCACTGTTCCTGTGCGTGTCCGGTGGTGGAGGGGGGCTATGGGAGGATATCCAGTTTTTCATTGTGGACTCTCCGGAGAGTCCCCTCGATGTGGGGAACCGTGAGCTGCTAGTGGTCAAGCTCGCCCTGGGGGAGTGGAGACATTGGCTAGAGGGGGCCGCCCATCCATTTGTCGTATGGACTGACCACAAGAACTTAGCCTACATTCAGGGGGCCAAGAGGCTCAACTCGCGCCAGGCCAGGTGGGCGTTGTTCTTCACCAGGTTCCGGTTCACCATCTCATACCGTGGACCTGGTGGAGAGGGATGACCCCATTGTCCCCAATGCCCTGATTGCTGCCCCAGTTTCGTGGGGAATCAATAGGCTGGTCAGAGAAGCGCTACGGCGGGAGCCCGTTCCGGGCGGAGGTCCATCAGGGAGGTTGTACGTACCCAAGGCTGCGCGCTCGCGACTGCTTCAGTGGGCGCATGCGTCCGACCTCACCAGCCATCCGGGGGGCGCCAGGACATTGGAGTTCCTGCGTAGGAGGTTCTGGTGGCCATCTGCTGAGGGGGATACGCGCGCCTTCGTGGCTGCTTGCCCGGTGTGCGCGCGCACGAAGAGCTCACGTCAGCCCGCGGCAGGGCTGCTCCGACCCCTGCCTATCCCCAAACGCCCCTGGTCCCACATCTCGCTGGATTTCATTTCCGTCTTACCCCCCTTTGATGGATATACAGTCATCCTGGTCTTGTGGACCGGTTCTCGAAGGCTGCCCACTTCATTCCCCTTCCCAAACTCCCGTCGGCCCAGGAGACGGTTAAGTTGGTGTTGCAGCACGTTTTCCGGGTCCATTGCCTTCCCCAAGATGTGGTGTCGGATCGGGGCCCTCAGTTTTCCTCCAGGTTCTGTAAGGCGTTTGTCACCTGCCTCTGCGCCTCCGTCAGCTTGTCTTCCGGCTTCCATCCCCAGTCGAACGGGCAGATGGAGCGCGTCAACCAGGATCTGGAGGGGGTGCTGAGGTGCTACGCCTCCAGCAACCAAGCTACGTGGAGTCAGCGACTGGCGTGGGCGGAGTACGCCCACAACACCCTTCTCTGCTCGTCCACCGGCCTGTCCCCCTTCCAGTGCCAATACGGGTACCAACCCCCCCTATTCCTTGAGCAAGAGGAGGAGGTGGCGGTCCCGTCAGTCCAGGCCCACATCAGTCGCAGTCGGCGCACCTGGAGGCAGGTATGGGCGGTGCTTAAGTGGGCCTCTGTCAGGTCTCAACATCAGGCCAACCGCAGGCGTCGCCCGGCCCCGGTCTTTCGCCCGGGACAGAGGGTGTGGCTCTCCATGCGGGATCTTCCCCTCCGTGTGGAGTCCAGGAAGCTGTCCCCCCGGTTCGTCTGGCCATTCAGAGTGGTCCGGCGAGTCAACCCAGTGGCCTACCGCCTGCAACTTCCCCCCACCATGCGGGTGCATCCCACATTCCATGTGTCCCTCCTCAAGCCCATCGCCACCTGTCCCCTGGCTCCCCCTCCTCGTCCTGTTCCCCCGCTGCAACTTGTCGGAGGGCAGCCGGCTTTTACTGTGGACTGGATCCTGGACTGCCAGATGGGGAGGGGTCTCCTTTTTCTGGTGGACTGGGAGGGTTATGGGCCAGAGGAGCGGTCCTGGGTGCCCAGGAGGGACATTCTGGACCCAGGGCTGATAACAACATTCCGTCGCCTCCACCCGGAGGCGCCGAGGTGAGCGGCTGGGGCAATTTGTCGGGGGGGACACTGTTACAGGAGTCGATCGCAGTTCCAAAGTGACCCACTAGGTGTCATCCTCCGACAACCTTAGGCACCTCTTCACTCACAGTTGGGACTAATCATCTTCTTATTGGTGTCACCTGTGTCTATCTGATTCACCAGTGTATTTATGCCCTCACTTCCATGTGTTCCCTTGCTCAGTTTTCTTTGCTAGTTTCACTATGCCAAGCAGTACTAATCAGTGTCTGATCGCGGGATGTATGAATAGGTACGTGAGAAGTGTTCTCCCTGTTTATTTATTATTTCAACGTAGACTTTGATTTGAAGCCATTCTTGTGATTTTGCTATTCATTGTAAATGTTGTGGGCCTACGTAGCTAAGTATCTATGATCATATGCTATACATGTTTTTTGTATGTTGTTTTTATCTGTGAATTGGCCAATGCTATTAGGCCACACCCGGCCATGATTACAGACACCTGCGTGTGTCCTTTCACACTATATAAACCAGTGACCTGCAGTGTTTGTCATTATACCCTGATGAGGACAGCTTGTCTGTCGAAACGCTGGTTATTAAGATATTAAATTATTGCATCTGAGCTCCTAGAGTGTGTGGCTTTCCTTTTCTTTTTGAAGTGTTTATGCCGTCAGCCAGCACCTCGCCTAAATAGGTGTGCGTTTCTTTCGCCTTTATTTCAGTCAGTTAGTATTTCGTATTTTTGTCTGTCTGCCTGTTTTTTGGAGTCTTATTTGCTCTGCCTTTTTCCTGTAAAGTCCGTTATTTTGTATCCTGGTTTCGGGACCATCAGTAAAGTTCCTTGTTTCACCATCTCTGCCTACTGTCTAACCTGCACCGCACCTGGGTCACACCTCACACCAACACTTACAGGTAATAGGGGATCAGTGTAATATCAGTGTCTCTTTTTCACTTCCAGTTCTCTTGAATTACTCTTTCTCCATCTGCCTATCTTCTTGGTATTTTTCTCCCTTTCTCTGGGCTATTTCCCCCATCTCTCTGCCTCCACCCCTCCTCTCACCCTCCTCAGTCCACTCCACGTTTGGCCTATGGCATTGCCCAGGATAAAGGCTCTGTGTGGAACGTGAAGTGGTGCCCAGGAGGAGCCTGGGAGCTGCCCACAACTAACAAAGGTAGGAACAGAAGCACACAGAGACGCAGGGACATGTTATCCACATCATTAATACCTGTTTGGCACTGCATGATGGAGGCAGCTAAAGCCTCAACATGACTGTGAAAGAACTGTACAAGACGCTGAGCTAAATAATATACAATTCATGACTCTCTCTCTCCGGCAGGCCCCTCATATGCCCAGACTGTGTCTCCTGGATGCCTCCACGTCAGACAGTCACATCATCTACAGCATGCCTCAACCCAACACACTGCAGGCCCGCAGGAAACACACCACTAAAGGTTAGCATGCTCATTTAACACACAATAGAACAAAAGCAACTTACAATTAACACGCATATTAGTAATATGTGACAGAATATTTATCTGTAACAGATATATTAGCTATATCATTAATATATGCCTGAATCAAACCTTACACTCTGGTGTTGTAGTTGCAATGTATGTGTTGCTCCAGAAGGCAGCAGTATTGTCATTCAACAGCCTGAACTTGGTCCTGCAGAAAAGCTGGAAGTCTTTTTAAATCTGTTTTCATGCTGCTCGTTGAAGTCGCAATGTATTTATTTTTTCAAGTCAAATAAATCCACATTTGCTTCATCTTTGTTTTATGTAAGTACACATAAAAATCATGTGTTATTATTACATCATATAGACGGGTTAGCTGAGAACGTCACAAACGATGCGCACGCTTCAATGGGGCAGAAGGCCGTGTGTTGTTGTGATTCTGGATGGCCAGATAGCTAGCAACAATGACAAGAAGCTGCCATGTGGGGAATCGTAAGTGGCTCGTTTCACGTAGTTTTATCTTGATACTATGTCTTATTTTGACTTTATTTGAGATTTATTTTATTTTACCTTTATTTAACTAGGCAAGTCAGTTAAGAACAAATTCTTATTTACAATGACGGCCTACACCGGCCAAACCCGGACGACACTGGGCCAATTGTGCGCTGCTGTCACGTCTATGCTAATATGGCTAAAATTCGCTAGCTAATCTATAACTGTAACGATGTATTTGAGACAACAAGTTCTCATTGTGCAACTTTATTTATGTTTTCAACAAACATTGGAGAAAAAAATTGTTTGCATGTTGTCAACAAACTAAGCCAACCCAGTCTGTTTTGCCCCATAGTTGCGCACGCATCGGTTTTGTTGCTAAGCAACCAACCCATCTATGCCTTAGGCTATTTACTATCGGAATATTTCTATGATCCATATTATCACCCTAAACATTTCTGTCCCTGCCTCTCCATATCTCCATCTCTCCCCTGGGATCACATGATCTGTAACCAAAGGAATAGTCGCTGGGCTTCCCCCTACTGCATTATTCTCCTATTGTTCCGCTGATGCATGGACTCTCCACACCACGAACACTGCATCCTCACACATCTAACACTGTGTGCGCGTGTGCTCATCCTCCTATGATTTTCAATGAATCTCTGCAGTAGAGAGAGAGACCGAGGGAGGGGATGGTAGGAGAAATGGAGGGAGGCAGAGCGAGCGAGAACAAGAGAGAATTGCTTGCCTGAAGTCATCCTTCACTGATTCCGCTCTCCAACCACATTCTGTCATCCCAGTCTGTCTGTAAGAGCTCCCATTTCCCCCATTTACTGGAGCGTTCAAATCTGTCTACAAGGCAATACACTCCAACGTGCCATCGACATGTACAGTGGCTTGCAAAAGTATTCATCCCCCTTGGCATTTTTCCTAGTTTGTTGCCTTACAACCTGGAATTAGAATGGTTTTGTATCAGTTCATTTACACAACATGCCTACCACTTTGAAGATGCAAAATACATTTTTTTGTGTGAAACAAACAAGACAAAACACAACTTGAGCGTGCATAACTATTCACCCCCCAAAGTCAATACTTTGTAGCGCCACCTTTTGCAGCAATTACACCTGCAAGTCTCTTGGGGTACAATTGAAGGCGGACGTTTACATACACTTAGGTTGGAGTCATTAACTTGTTTTTCAACCACTCCACAAATTTCTTGTTAACAAACTATAGTTTTGGCAAGTCGGTTAGGACATCTGTTTTGTGCATGACACAAGTAATTTTTCTAACAATTGTTTAGACAGATTATTTCACTGTATCACAATTCCAGTGGGTCAGAAGTTTACATACAGTAAGTTTACTGTGCCTTTAAACAGCTTGGAAAACTCCAGAAAATGATGCCATGGCTTTAGAAGCTTCTGATAGGCTAATTGACATCATTTGAGTCAATTGGAGGTGTACCTGTGGATGTACACTGCTCAAAAAAAATAAAGGGAACACTTAAACAACATAATGTAACTCCAAGTCAATCACACTTCTGTGAAATCAAACTGTCCACTTAGGAAGCAACACTGATTGACAATACATTTCACATGCTGTTGTGCAAATGGAATAGACAACAGGTGGAAATTATAGGCAATTAGCAAGACACCCCCAATAAAGGACTGGTTTTGCAGGTGGTGACCACAGACCACTTCTCAGTTCCTATGCTTCCTGGCTGATGTTTTGGTCACTTTTGAATGCTGGCGGTGCTTTCACTCTAGTGGTAGCATGAGACGGAGTCTACAACCCACACAAGTGGCTCAGGTAGTGCAGCTCATCCAGGATGGCACATCAATGCGAGCTGTGGCAAGAAGGTTTGCTGTGTCTGTCAGCGTAGTGTCCAGAGCATGGAGGCGCTACCAGGAGACAGGCCAGTACCTCAGAAGACGTGGAGGAGGCCATAGGAGGGCAACAACCCAGCAGCAGGACTGCTACCTCCGCCTTTGTGCAAGGAGGAGCACTGCCAGAGCCCTGCAAAATGACCTCCAGCAGGCCACAAATGTGCATGCGTCTGCTCAAACGGTCAGAAACGGACTCCATGAGGGTGGTATGAGGGCCCGACGTCCACAGGTGGGGGTTGTGCTTACAGCCCAACACCGTGCAGGACGTTTGGCATTTGCCAGAGAACACAAAGATTGGCAAATTCGCCACTGGCGCCCTGTGCTCTTTACAGATGAAAGCAGGTTCACACTGAGCACATGTGACAGACGTGACAGTCTGGAGATGCTGTGGAGAACGTTCTGCTGCCTGCAACATCCTCCAGCATGACCGGTTTGGCGGTGGGTCAGTCATGGTGTGGGGTGGCATTTCTTTGGGGGGCTGCACAGCCCTCCATGTGCTCACCAGAGATAGCCTGACTGCCATTAGGTACCGAGATGAGATCCTCAGACCCCTTGTGAGACCATATGCTGGTGCGGTTGGCCCTGGGTTCCTCCTAATGCAAGACAAGGCTAGACCTCATGTGGCTGGAGTGTGTCAGCAGTTCCTGCAAGAGGAAGACATTGACGCTATGGACTGGCCCGCCCGTTCCCCAGGCCTGAATCCAATTGAGCACATCTGGGACATCGTCTCGCTCCATCCACTGTACCACAGAATGTCCAGGAGTTGGCGGATGCTTTAGTCCAGGTCTGGGAGGAGATCCCTCAGGAGACCATCCGCCACCTCATCAGGAGCATGCCCAGGCGTTGTAGGGAGGTCATACAGGCACGTGGTGGCCACACACACTACTGAGCCTCATTTTGACTTGTTTTAAGGACATTACATCAAAGTTGGATCAGCCTGTAGTGTGGTTTTCCACTTTAATTTTGAGGGTGACTCCAAATCCAGACCTCCATGGGTTGATACATTTGATTTCCATTGAAATTTTTTGTGTGATTTTGTTGTCAGCACATTCAACTATGTAAAGAAAAGTATTTAATAAGATTATTTCATTCATTCAGATCTAGGATGTGTTATTTTAGTGTTCCCTTAATTTTTTTGAGCAGTGTATTTCAAGGCCTACCTTCAAACTCAGTGCCTCTTTGCTTGACATCATCTAAAGAAATCAGCCAAGACCCCCAGAAAAAAAATGGTAGACCTCCACAAGTCTGGTTCATCCTTGGGAGCAATTTCCAAAAGCCTTAAAATACCACGTTCAACTGTTCAAACAATAGTATGCAAGTATAAACACTATGGGACCACGCAGCCGTCATACCGCTCAGGAAGGAGATGCATTCCGTCTCCTAGAGATGAACGTACTTTGGTGCGAAAAGAACAAATCAATCCCAGAACAACAGCAAAGGACCTTGTGAAGATGCTGGAGGAAACAGGTACGAAAGTATCTATATCCACTGTAAAACGAGTCCTATATCAACATAACCTGAAAGGCCGCTCAGCAAGGAAGAAGCCACTGCTCCAAAACCACCATTAAAAAGCCAGACTACGGTTTGCAACTGCACATGGGGACAAAGATCGTACTTTTTGGAGAAATGTCCTCTGGTCTGATGAAACAAAAAAGAACTGTTTTGCCATAATGACCATGGTTATGTTTGGAGGAAAAAGGGGGATGCTTGCAAGCCGACGAACACCATCCCAACCGTGAAGCACGGGGGTGGCAGCATCATGCTGTGGGGGTGCTTTGCTGCAGGAGGGACTGGTGCACTTCACAAAATAGATGGCATCATGAGGAAGGAAAATGATGTGGATATATTGAAGCAACATCTCAAGGCATCAGTCAGGAAGTTAAAGCTTGGTCGCAAATGGGTCTTCCAAATGGACAATGACCCCAAGCATACTTCCAAAGTTGTGGCAAAATGGCTTAAGGACAACAAAGTCAAGGTATTGGAGTGGCCATCACAAAGCCCTGACCTCAATCATATAGAGAAGTTGTGGGCAGAACTGAAAATGCGTGTGTGAGCAAGGAGTCCTACAAACCTGACTCAGTTACACCAGCTCTGTCAGGAGGAATGGGCCAGAATTCACCCAACTTATTGTGGGAAGGTTGTGGAAGGCTACCCGACACGTTTGACCCAAGTTAAACAATTTAAAGGCAATGCTACCAAATACTAATTGAGTGTATGTAAACTTCTGACCCACTGGGAATGTGATGAAAGAAATAGAAGCTGAAATAAATCATTCTCTCTACTATTATTCTGACATTTCACATTCTTAAAATAAAGTGGAGATCCTAACTGACCTAAGACAGGGAATTTTTACTAGGATTAACAGTCAGTAATTGTGAAACGCTGAGTTTAAATGTATTTGGCTAAGGTGTATGTAAAGTTCCAACTTCAACTGTATGTCTCTATAAGCTTGGTACATCTAGCCACTGGGATTTTTGCCCATTCTTCAAGGCAAAACTGCTTCAGCTCCTTCAAGTTGGATGGATTCCACTGGTGTACAGCGATCTTTATGTCATACCACATATTCTCAATTGGATTGAGGTCTGGGCTTTGACTAGGCCATTCCAAGACATTTACATGTTTCCCCT